GACTGACTGGTCGGTCGATGCGGATCGATCGATCGAAGGCAAATGAAATGAGTTTAAGGGTACATTCGAAACCTTAACATCGCCGTTTATCCAATGGTCAACAATTAAGCTATCACATTGCCTTCCATGGGTTAATAAGGGAGCTCGAGAGCTGTTGATGCGTAGAAAACACTTCTGGGTCTGTTTCTTGTCGATAGGACACGCATCATTTAAGTGTGAGTATAAAAAATTTGGGTTATATGTAAAACGACCAAAGCTGAATCCTTTACTAATTATGAACTACAGTTTGCGTGTGTTAGCCGTACTTGCCCGAAACGATTATTTTTATACGTTATACGGAGAACAAAATGTAGTGATGGTTATACCTCAATACTGTTACATGAAAGTTGAGATTTACTAGCTGAATCAGATCGTGCAAAGGCTGAACATTTCTCAGTATATTTTAGCGGAGTCTACTCCGCCTGTATTGTTACAAATACCTGTCCCAATCGCACCGTGATACCAACCATAGAGTCTGAACATGTGACAAAGGAAACTGTTCTTCAGTTGATAACTAACCTCAAACCTTGTAAGGTACGAGGACCTGACGGGTTACATCCACGATTACTGTCATCTGCGGACATTATTTCAAGACCTCTCGCGGCGCTCTATCAATCGCTCAATTCCCTAGAAATCGGAATGACTCTATAGTCAGTCCTAAATTTAAAGATGGTCAGAGGCAGATCGTATCAGTCTAACTAGCACAGTCGTTAAGTTACTTGGAAAGATAATTCGGGTTAAGTTACTAAGTCACATAGATTCACACAATCTGTTAACTCCTGAGCAACATGAGTTTTTCAGCAAGCATTCATGCTTGACTAACTTACTTATTGCGAGAAAGGATTGTATAGAAACCCTAGACAATAATCTGTCTGTCGATATGATATCCATAGACTTTATAAAAGCGTTTGACGAGGTTTAACACTTGGGTTTTATGCAGAAGCTCTCGAGCTTCGGAATAACAGGTGTTGTACATGAATGGATAGGACATTTCTAATGTGATCGCAGAGAGAGAGTGAGTCACAATGGAATGCTTTACGAATACGAGCCGGTCACATGTGGTGCACCCGAAGGTACTATCTTAGGTCTCCTACCTTTCCTTCGCTATGTAAATGAACTACCGCTATTGCTTAAGTTGTCGACATTATTGTTTGCGGATGGTGTCAAAATCTGCGGAACAGTAAAAAATGGGGCTGATCATTTTGATCTTAGACTAATTAGTCGGATGGGTTCGAGGTTGGTGCTTAGAAGTTAATTCTAGGAAAAGTGTGCTCATGCACATCGGACACGGTAATAGTTATCATTATTACTATTGATAGTACATCTCTTCCACGCGTTCAAGAACATAAAGACTTGCGAGTAATAATGAGTCATGACTCGGAAACAACTGCGTAATGCAACGCAGCTGCTGTCGAAGGTTTTCGTGAGTTATGGTCACTTCGGCGAGCATTCAAGTGCTTTGACGAGATGTTTCGAAATTTATATCCCATCTATGTAAGATCACACTTAGAGTATTGTATCCAAGCATCTAGCCCATGTCTGATAAGGGATACTAACTAATTTGAGCATGTTCAGCATGTGAGAACAAAATTAATGAAGGTGTAGCGTGGCGTCGAGTTGAGATTAACTATGAACACCGCTACCAGGAAACACGTGCCAGATAAATCAGAAGGCGAGGGTTGGACGTAACCAAATAGATCCATAAAATCCCCGAGAAGCCGAATACCAGAAGACAGTTAATGGACCAAGTCGAGGTTTATTAGCTGGCGATCTCGTGGCATCGAAAGGATACCGAGATCGTGCCAGGATACAACCTTGGTTACAGAAGGTAACCGAATTCGCGCGAAGTTACAATCGAAGGGTAAGCGAAAGAATGGAAGCAGAAAATAGCTGTCATTAGCACAGTCAAACAAAAGCACATTAAAACAAACACTGGTACAGTTGGTTGTAATAATAATTGTTTTTATTAAACCAGTCGTGTTCTCGTGATAAACGTGAGTCACTACAGGAGCCCCCCGCTAGAAAGGGTTTACACTTTCGATAAATAGCGGTTTGAATCGTGGGACTGATCGGCTGATGAGCGATTGTAGGACGGAAGAATTGGCGAACAGGAAAGCGATCGTTGATCGTCGAGTTGCCAACGAAGGTCGTTATCGGAGAACGGTACCAGGAGCGATGTGTTGTATTTATTGCTTGAGTTGGCATGCTACACCAGAGTGGTTTGTATCCAGAATCTGAAGAGGGCGTTCGTAGAGGTGCGCACCAGAAACGCTGCAGACGTAGGACGAAACCACGTTGAGCCGAAAGACCAGAAGCGACCGTTACGACCAAGTTCGTGACCAAGCGTTCGAAACCAATATATCGACTGAGTGCGTTGACAAGAGCATGGGTGATCAGGCCAGCTTTCGCCAAAGTTGACTGAAGTCGACGGAACCAAACGGAGATGGTCGAAGGCGTGGGCTCAGGAAACAAAAAGAAAATCAAAAAAAGAAGAGTGTAGCATACGTGTAGTATAGGAATAATCCTACACCGTATCGGTAGTTGACTGTGCGACTATTCGCGGAAGCGTACGGGTAACCGTACTCGGCGACCGGAACGTGAGACGGCAGTCTCGTTCGCGTCGCGTGAGCCTGCAATCTCATCCGAAGTCAAGGGCGGCGTGGTCTGCTGATCTGGACGTGAGACTGTCGTCTCGTCCGTAGACGGTGCAGATGACGCGTGCTGTTGACTGGGACGTGAGAATGAGGTCTCAGATGTATCTAGCGTGGGACCTGTAGATGATTTGAGGATCCCGCTAGTAGGTTTGCTAGGTCTAGCAGTGAATCTCAGGTTGTCAGATAGGGCACTGTCATCGACGTGTGCTGGTTTGAGACGATCAATGCTGACGATCTCGACGCGTCCATATCGATCAACCTTGAAGGTCTTTTCGTGACGAGCGATCACGTGAAAAGGGCCTTCGTAAGGTTGTTGCCAAGGTTTGCGTACCGAATCTACTCGTACAAAAACATGTGAACAGGTAGATAACTCTCGAGGGAGAGCGACCTGTCGATGTTGTATTCGAGTTGACACCGGAGACAGCGTTCGCATAAATGCAGACAGTCGATGGACGTTGTCTGATTTACCGAAATCAGGTCTGCTCCGTGGTGTGAAGAATTCTCCGGGCAGACGCAATGTCGTGCCGTATACAAGTTCAGCGGCGGAACATTGGATATCTGCCTTTAAGCTCGTTCTGATCCCTAAACGAACGAGCGATAAGGTTTCGTACCAGTTGTCGTTCTCGTGTGCTTGTAGAGCACTTTTAAGTTGGTATTGAAACCGTTTACTTAACCATTTGGTGCTGGGTGGTAGACAGATATGCTTATGCGTATGCATTCCGTACCAAGCAGCCGGGTCAGCGAGGAGAATAGTTAATAGGGTAACATTTCTCGAATAAAGCGTGGAATTCATCATCACGCGAATAAAAAAAGTGACAAGGATTCGGTACACATACGTGTGAGTCTATTATATTAATACTATTCTTATCGTTATCCGTCATGTCGTGTATATTAAATATTAAAAAATATGAAAATATACGACAGACGTGGATAGATAAAGCATAGACTCACCGAATTGGCTTCTTTGGAAGATTTGATCAGAAGTTGAGGCGTGTTCTAAACTTTGGGATCACCAATTGTGGTCAAATTGGGATTACCAATTGTAGCGTGGCGTCGAGTTGAGATTAACTATGAACACCGCTACCAGGAAACACGTGCCAGATAAATCAGAAGGCGAGGGTTGGACGTAACCAAATAGATCCATAAAATCCCCGAGAAGCCGAATACCAGAAGACAGTTAATGGACCAAGTCGAGGTTTATTAGCTGGCGATCTCGTGGCATCGAAAGGATACCGAGATCGTGCCAGGATACAACCTTGGTTACAGAAGGTAACCGAATTCGCGCGAAGTTACAATCGAAGGGTAAGCGAAAGAATGGAAGCAGAAAATAGCTGTCATTAGCACAGTCAAACAAAAGCACATTAAAACAAACACTGGTACAGTTGGTTGTAATAATAATTGTTTTTATTAAACCAGTCGTGTTCTCGTGATAAACGTGAGTCACTACAAAGGGCATTTCCAAACTTTCATACGATGAGTGCTTAAAACGTCTAAACCTTTCCTCCTTATCATATCGTAGTGAACATGTCAAAGGTATTTAGAGTTTGACAACACTAACCTGTAACACTTTCTACTATGAATCGTGCCCACTTAGTCAAATCAAATGTCAGAAGCGAGTAATTTCGAAGATATATTTGATAGGTTACTAATATTATCGAGAATTGACTGATCTAGACTGGCTAGCGATTGCATTGGATTTTGAGCACGATGATTCCACTTGTGATTTGGTGCGGATGCATGACGGAGCGCTTTCAGCCAAGTGCGTCCGTTAAAACTAATATGGTCGAAAACTTACAGAGCTATTTATTTTGGGGATTTATTTACTTCTACAGTAGGACGCGAGGTGACCTTATACTGATGATTCGTACCTTTGATGATGAGTTGGGTGTTAATATGCCTTATCTTTTTGCTCCCTATAGTACTAATAATCTCCGAGGTCATAGATAGAAGGTTCACAAACCGCGATCTAATAAACTTAAAGTGGGGTCCAGTTTTCTCATCGACTAGTCAATGACAGGAACGCCGTGCATGAACAAGTGGTATCAGCTCCATCAGTTAATATTTTCAAGGAGAAGCCGGACCTCACTGAAAGGTAATATGACAGGATTAACATAGATTCACTAACCTACTACCTTTAATACTGAAAACTGCGCAATTACAAGTAACTACTACAATAACATTTTCATCTAAAATTGAAAATAAACATTGAATTTGCTGATTGCAGGAAGCAAACATACCTAAAGACTTGTATAATATTTGTATAACAGTTTGCCCTTGAGCTTGTTATTACCGATCACAAAACTTTAATTTTACTATTAACTCTTGGCGCGTTGATTGTTTGCCACGTTATTTTTCGCTTGCTTCGTTTTTGTAAGGTTTATTTTTTAATGTTGCAGATTAATAAAGAAGTATTTTCAAAATAACAACCAAGTTTTTGTATTCAATACCACAACGATAACCTCATTGTGAAACTTATGTCGCCTAACACAGGATAATTCAACTTGTGCAAGACTATAATCTATGGACGAACCAACCAGATATGAGATAGCAAGTTAAAAATTTAGGAGTGGAATGGATCGGTAAATTGGGCTTAATAGAGTTTTGGCACTATAGCTGATACCAGTTCGTGATGAAAACCCTAAATGTAATTTTTAACCCTAACCATCAACCGTAAATAAGAATTCTAACTGCTTTGCAACCCTTGTTTAGTCCCAATCCGTAGGTAACCACTCTCACGATCGGTCTAGGGTCGCACCACGGTTGTCCGTGAATTATGGTTTTACCTAAACTCGTGATTCTTGATCTAAGACGAAATTTCAGTGTACCTCTCGAAATCATAAGCTTGAGATTGCTCAGTAACGTCATGCATTTAGAGTTATAAAGCGATGAATAAATTGTTCAGAAACCACTTCTGTCATGTATCTATTTGCTGTATGCTGTATCTTAATCGACACTAATAACGTTAGATATTGTCGATAACCTTGAGAACTTTCGGTGATTGATGGTAAACTTTCGATCTAAATACATAACAGATAACATGCAGTCAGATCACGGTATGTCTTTTGTTTCTTCATAGATTTGTACCGAAAAATTCTGAGTTGGTCTATGTGATGGGAAGTGTATCGACAATGGGTTCCAAAAAGGGCTTGATGATGATACACTAATGTAATTCAGCTCATGTAAATGTTGGATTCATAGAATGATTCAGTAACACAGGGATTCGTATTTATTGTTTTGTCTACATCTCGCCAATTTGATTGGTCTTGTTCCGTACTCAGTTACTGTAAAAGTCAAATGAAAATTACTGTAATTACATGCCGATATGGCTGATACACTTATGCTGCTACCTGTTAGTTTTATCATTGTACTATCTTTAATTAACTGAATAACTATCTTGTTTGGCTTTGTTGATTGTTCTTGAGGTCGCTAATTACCAAGAACTAAATAGGCGTATTTACATCAGCTATATATCACAAACATCGGGAGTATATCCAATGAATTAGTAAATTAAGAAAGCTGAAATTGTTTAGAATTTCCACTCATTTCTCAATATAGGTGATATAATGCAGGAGAAACTAGTTGGTCAATGATCTCAGCGTAGAACTCGATAAGGTTGTGTGTTGATTCTTGTTACCAAACTTCATGTCAGTCCAGTAAGTTCAATAAACAAAGATAAAAACCACGTGGTAAAAATGACATCATTGAAAGTTTTATAAAAGTAAACATCGGAACAGCAGTCTAAGAGAACGAATAAAAGCCAACTAGAAATCTGTTTAACATTGAATTTTCAGATCTAATTAATGATTTACTAGAATTCAAGACACGATTCAACAAGTTCTCTGTTGTTTAATGTAACACCAGCTTCTGTGAGATCTCTTTTTCTTCGTTTTAAGACTTTGACGGAAACTTGGTGGCCCTTGTGAATTAAACCCTCAAATGAAGTAAAATTTTTGTGCATTGAATAACTTTTATCTGTTTACTACCAATTTTGTTTGTAAATATTCTAATGTAATGAGCTATGTTATGCTTCTGTAGCAGTAAAGTTTGGCATATGGACTAATTTCTGGTGGTTTTGTTTTATAAGTTAGGTGATTTGACTGTCGATTTTTAGTTGTTTTTCTGGACAAAATCTTAAACCCCCACTCCACGTAGAAGTGAGATTTCTGGTTGTTCCACAAACACTACATCTGTCTGTTCCCATGGCCATGTTTATTACTTGGTACCTTCGTACACTTTGTTACCTTGATTTGTCGTTGTATTCGTATCGACTGTCTTTGCTGGTTGAAATCTAACACTATGATTAATTGGCCTATTTCATGTAGGTTCGTAGATTGGGTGGACATCAATGCACCTGTTTATTCCCAACGGACTTAAGTGTTTTCCCCACGGAGGTTCCCTGGCCGTCTTGGGATTTCTCTTACAGATAGTTTCGAATTCTCTCTAGTTAAACTCACGTCTACGGTTGTCTACATATGTCGATATCAGTGATACCATATCACGTCTCTCTATTGCTGATCCGTGTTCCTTTATGGATAGATGAGGAGGACGTTCAATTTGTTCAGTGTGATAGGTCCCGTAGTTGGTGCAATTTATTTTGTAAATGATGTCTCATTTCTCTTCTTTTGTTGTTGTCTTTTGGTCTGTATAAAATGAAATAGAGTGGTCGCATTGGTTTGTGGGCGACGGTTATTCCAAAGAGCTTTAAAGCCCTTGTGAGGATTTCTGAGATGAGTTTCGCACATCGTAGGGCGATTTGTTTCTTGGTTGCCAGAGTTGTTTTCTTTACTTCTGTGATTAGTGTCTCGACGTAATTCGTTTTGTATGCTGTTGTAGCTTTTAATACTTGCTTTGTGTACCTTAGTTTTTTCCATACTTGTTTTTTACGTCCCTCTGTTTACTCTGTTGCCTAAAATATCAAAGAACAAGACCCTGTCTTCTGTTTCTTTAATTGTAAATTTGCTGTAGTTGTTAACGCCTACCAACCTACGAATATTTGCAAGTGATCTCTCTTCAGGATAACTAACATGTCACCCGCGTAACCTCTTCTAAATTGATGTGGTAATCATAAAACTAAACAGGATGTACCTGAATCCTAGAGTGTGTTGTTTGCCTGTATGTTTACTCATATGGCTAACCCACTAACATCTTAAGAGTTGAACTTAGAACTTAGTGGGTGATTGTTGTAGATTCTGTCTATAGAGCTCTCGATTACTCAAGAGATGAAATCTTGGGTTGAAGTGGAGATACGTTATCAAACACGCTCATGATTACTACCAGTGTCACCAATTCCGGGGGTAGATCTATATAGTAATAGTGTGGCGCTGTCGATCGTCTACTCAATAATGTGTACTTTTTCAATAAATTTGTGACTACATTTTATAAAGCCAGCTCAACAAAAAATGAAGTTTATGGAATACATTTTTCCTCTCTTTTGCTTCGATACTTTATAGAAACAGTATGGGAAAATTACAAAACTGGACATTTAGGTGAAAAAATGTCTGACATGAATGCATGAAATCTCATAACGTTATACGCTAGCTCGAATCTTGAAATGAAAGAAGTGTTCACGTGATCTAATAGATCATCTTGTTTTATTATTTTGAGCTTATCTCTAGAAACTTAGGGAAGGTCCACATCCATCTAAGTTATAACTTTGGTTCGTATAACCAGATATACATATATCTTTGGTGTTGTTCTTTGTTTATCAGAAAACATCTACAATATATCTGTTTTCTATTTTTCAACCCACCAGTTTACTTGAGCGTGTGATATTAAGATCTTATCTTGCAGTCTTTGGTTCTTATGAACCATGTTGATCCCTGAAGACCAAATATGGATGGTCGTTGTTGGTTTCATAATAGCTTTTATTCTTGCTTTTGGAATTGGTGCAAATGATGTGGCAAATTCATTCGGGACTAGTGTTGGGGCCAAAGTATTAACACTGAAACAAGCTTGTATTCTTGCTACAATCTGTGAATTAAGCGGTTCTGTTCTTTTAGGTAAATTTAGTTTGGTTATATACATACGTGCGTGCTTCTTCAGGTGCTAAAGTTTCCAATACCATACGGAAAGGTATTGTTAGTGTCGAACTTTTTCAAACCATCGACAACGGGCATGTACTCTTGATGGCCGGACAGGTTGCTGCTCTGGGTGGTAGGTCTATGAATATAATATTTTTTTCACTATATAATTTTTTTCTGGATTTCAAAAGTAATCAACTACATTTAATCTCTGGTGCTAACAGCTATACATGAATTAAATAAAACTGATAAGATAATAACTCTCCTTGTGATAATGAGCTATTTTACTTTATATATATCAACATTCGCTCGACCGTAGCTGCTATCGATGTGGTGGTCGGACTTGCCTATCGTGATGATTCTACTGAACTATGTCGGGGTAAGCACTTGTTTCTTTAGGTGCTGCCACACCAGGGAGGTCGGTTGGAAGACGGTAATACTAAAAGTAGCAACTTAAGGCCCACAGGCCAGATCGTACTGCTGACTGTAGTGGAGTGTGGGTGCAGTAAGGTGTTTTCTTCGGACAACCAGCATCTGCATCCGGCGGTAAGGCGTTTTGAAGTGCGAAGCAAGCTCATCAAAACGTCCCATATGAAGCCCGTGCGCAACTGGCCTTAAGAAGTTGTCCCTTGGGCTCTGTGGTCACACTCCTAGTTCGCCAAGACCACCACTAATTCAACATCCTTTTCAGGTCCCTCAAGAAGAAATATCTTTCCGCGGTGTTGGCAACCGGGAAGTGACAACCATTCTAATACTACTATCAGCACCCGAGGTCATCTTATTGACGATCGAACCACTTCTTTATCTCCTAATAATTATTTCATCCCCATGAATAACCTTTCTAACTTATCTTTATCACCACGTGCCACTAACATTAATGATTTGAGTTCACGAAATGTTATTTCTGGTCTCTTGAAACTATGCTCTAAACTATATGTTAGAGCTTTTAATATTCGAACCTTGTGTCGGATGACACAACATGCTCCTTTAGCTAAAACCCTAGAATCTCGCGCCATCGATGTGTAATGCGTCTCCGAAACGCTCATACAGGGTCCAAGTACAATCATTCATTTGACCTCACCTTGTCAGTAAAGAGAATCGGGACGATTTGCCCTAAAAGTGACTGGAGACCCCACTGCTAGTTCCCGTGACCTCGCTGGTGTAGGTTTAGCATTAAATTCCAACTTAAAATAGGCTTTCCTAGACGGGACTCGAATAAACAGTCGCTTGTGTGCTGTCCAGCTAAACGGGACAGGAAGAACTCGATAACCTCATAGATGATATCATCACACTAATAAAGTTGTAAGTTCGATTTCGGACCAAACGCATCCTGCAAATCTGGACAGACGGTGTACATCTCGAACTCTATGGGTGTGATAAACGGACAAAGTGGCTGACTTAGTAGATGAGGAACTCAAACGACTTAATCTCTAATCCGATGCATTCATCATCACCGGTACAGCAGCGACACGGACATGCTCAGATCGCATTATCCTATATGTACTTTGTCTTCGTGTCAACTCTGCTCACTTATCGTTTTGATGGATCGTCCCATTATGACTATAATTATCATATTCTCATCATTACATGAATGTCATATCATCACCTAACGTGGGATTATTATTTTTGTTCGTGCTGACATTGGATTATGACATATACGCAATCATATCACTCACCGACCATTTATTATTTTATTTTATTTGAACATATAAATATTGGTACAAGAGAGCGCCAATATATATGCGCCACACAAAACAATCAGAATTCGATGAGAAAGAAAAAATAGGTAAGGAGCTATATATTTTTCGAGTCATATCTTCGATGTCCAATCTTGCCTATTACCACTGATACTGTTACTACCTCTACTGCTCTAGGATCTGGCCTGACAACAACTTCATCTCTCTGTGCTATTGGGGTATGGCAACTTGAACCGATGTACATGCGTATAGGTTCTACGTTGTGATTGACTAATATCAACTGTTAAATTACAGTTGTTACCAAACTGTTTAATGTCTTTTGCACAATAAAACATTTGATGGCAACTTTCAAAATCTTAAACACTTAGTCAGTTTTAAAAGGAGATTTTATTATTCCAAAACAATGACGTACTTATTACAATATTGATAAAATAATTGTCAAATTATTTGTTAGTTTTTATCCTATGTTTGAGTGAAACTGTGTGCAGAATCCAACCTAGTTTTTGTGATTATAGTTTTAATGTCAAGTTGGCACATTTATACTCCATGTTCTTAACAAATGTTTACTTCTCTCAAGGTGATTGCTAATTTCCTGTTAAAATAATCTTTGTTGTAAAATAATTTGTGACTTATCAAAATTTATTATTGGTTGCATTTGTGGTAGGCATTTTTTTAATGCTATTTATTTTTATTTAATAAAAACGAACCCATTAGATATTTGTATACTTGTTTAGCAAATGTTATGTTTGCTTAAAGCCTGTAATATTGGATCTAATGAACTCATGACAAGCAGTTAAATGTATACACTGTTATTATGTATTATTCAATTTGGGACTAACTCGAACATTTTGAGATTATTTCAGGTATGTAGCATAGTTAGTATAATGGTTAAAAGATAACTTCTTACAGTTTTCTTAATCTCTATTCTGACAGGCGCATATCAGTTAATTAAACTCGAATATCAAATAATTGACATTAAGTGGATGTATTTGATAATCATAAGCTTTTATCACCAGTAAACTGTATTCATAGAATTATACATATACTGATAGAGTTTACGGAGATATTCACTATTTCGAGTAACTTTTTTCTACCATTTTCTGTTATATTTGTTTCATTTGTCTATAGGTTCTTGTATTTGGCTTTTGGTTGCTACATTCTTCCGTCTTCCAGTCTCTGGCACACATAGTATTGTAGGTGCAACGATAGGTTTTAGTCTTGTTGTTTTTGGACTCAATGCTATTCAATGGAAAGGACTACTCAAAATTGGTAAGAATTTTTTTTAAATATAAAGATAATGAACATGATAATTATTTTTCTGAATACCCTTTCGATAATTTAATGAGAATAAATTATTTAGTAGCGATGTTGTTTACTCGATACTGCAGTAGTTAGTTATTCGTGTAGTAAAGATTTTAGCCTTATATGAATGATTATGATTTCATACGAATTCATAACTTTGTAGTTTGAGTCCCATTTCAAACTTGAACAACATGAATTCTACTTGTTAGTAAAGTTATTATTACCATTTAGAAATGTTTAGAAATGTAAGTAATTTGTCCCTTTATGCGTCAAATGCTTAAGCATTGATGCTCCTCACAGTATCTTTATGAATTAAACTATTTTTCTTATGATAGCTGTTGCTATTGGTAAAATCTAGTTCCCTTTTAATAAACAAATAACTGCTTAGGTCTAGACAACTAGACATGGCTATCTATATAATGTACTTTATGCACCTTGATTTTCAATAGTAAACTACAGAACATTTCGTAAATTTCACTTTGTTGTATTCTTATGCTGGAGCGTAGGATAACCCACATGATTTAGAAAAGCCTAACAGAAAACGGATGATTCGATAAAACCTGGGGGAGATTTTGAATCATAAGACATTCTGATAATTAATAAGCTATAAAAGTTACATTACAAAATATAAACATAGTCTGTTTTTCCTTATTATCGCTTTTTAACTACGTTGGAATCATAATACGTCAAACATTTTTGTCAGTCTGAGGTTGTGGAGATTGTTGAGTTTCAATGAAATCACAAACCGATTTAAATCAGACAGCCATCCGAAAATTGGAAGCACTAGACTGCCTTTTCATTTTAGCGTGCGACTCCTAAATAGTGTGTACCCACGATCCCAGAACCGGGGTTCGAACCCAGGACTTTCTGTCTACAGAACAAAGGTGATAAGTGTTAGATTTTATATACGTATTATGTTTTGTATATATGGTTATACGTTTTGGAACAGTTTTTACTGCACACTATGTATATAGTCAAACAGTTTGTTCCTGGATTAAACTTACTTTATTGATGTGTTTTCCCATGTTAGGTGATCAGGATTAGACGGTATATTTCATCATCTGACTCAACAATGATTGTATGTGTTCACTCAGCTGATTTCTACTATTTATGTAAAATTATATGCATATGCAAATTCTGTCACAATGATGGTTCCACAAACAACGCAAAAATATAATACACCGAGTTGCTTGAAGTAATGTTTCGCTTTTCTATATTTAGAACAAAATCAAACAATAGTAGTCTCAGTTTTTCGAAAACGAAGTTAACATAGATCTATTTTGCAGTAGAATGAGGTATCTAAGATCCAAAGCAAAACTTATATCTGATTTATATTTACAGGAGAACACTAGATATAGTCGTTTGAGTATGATGTCATCGGTGCAAAGATATATTTCGTATTTATTTTTTCTTCAAGTAGTGAAAATTTAATCGTTTCTGATCAGTTTGCTATTTGTTCCATTGTTTGTTTGTCCTTCGCTTTGGTATTTTAGAAATAATATTTCTTTTCTTGAAGAAACATTTCTGTTTGCCTATATTCTTCGTGTTTACTTCAACACTTTTCTCTTTTTGCTCCGCTATGAAATGCTACAATTAGTTAGTATGTATTTATTATTCATGGTTTGATAATGCTGAGTCTTCACCACCTAATTATGAATAGTACTTGCTGTAATTTAAGGGATCACATTGGTTGGATGGGAAATCTATATATTCTATGACGGTAGTGATTTATATAATAGTGGACTAAGATAAACTAAATATAATGAATAATCTCATAGACCAAATAATAGTTTTATTCCTTGAACTACTGAGCAGTTTTATAATCATAATAATAGTGTTGCAAGTAATTTAGAGAAGAAACATGATACTATTTAAATACTGTAACTTACATTGTATTTCTAGGCTTTACTTTTCATTCACATCGGTCTTTTTATTGAAAGTTACATGACTTTACCTGTTTAAATAAGAAAAAATACACCTTTTCGAGATTTACTTCACATTAAAAATACTGTAATCAATTTCGTCATTTTCAGGATTTTATTATATTTTGCCTACATTCGTGTCTATAGCATGACAGTTCAATTAAATATGCCAAATGATTGAGTAATAATAATAATAATAATAATAATAATAATAATAATAATAATAATATTTACATGCTTATGCCTGTTACCCATCGTGGAGGAGCATAGGTCGTCCACCAGCATTCTGCAGCCAACACTGTCATGGGCAATTCTTTGCAGTTATTTCCAGTTGCAATTCATCCTTTTGATGTCTTCTTCCAATAATCATTATAATTAATTTAGTGTCCTACTTATTGACATTTTATACTTATAAGGATTGAATAAGTATTAACTTTTTTGTATAATATATTCATACTACATAATTTGATAACTTGACTGTTAATCATCCTGTTTTTACATATTATATTTTATGCAACTGTACATGTAGAACTGTTCATTTTATTTGTTTGTACATAAATATGGAATGCTATCATGGCTACATTATAGGATGGTAACGATAGCTAATGTTGTTATTGGATAGAATTGACTTTAATCGTGTGACTTGGACTTTATTTTCTGTGTAATTCCTTTCATTCGTTTTTATAAACTATAAATCAAATATTTTCATACAGAGCTTAGTTAGGTTTTCCAAAATAGCTTTTTTTAAAACTTGTAAAGGGCTATAAATAAATATATTTGTAATATCCCAATAAGTAGAAAATTAGATTTTCCAAGTTTAATTTGGTTATTTATTCTCTGAAGAAGTGACTTACACTAAGTCACGAAACGTCGGAAAATCTAATTTTCTACTCATTAGGATATTACAAATATATTATTTATTTATAGCAATCTACCCAATGCTCAATTCATTCGAAATTATCAAATCAAACCTTGGTCATGATACCTTGTAAAGGACTAGTTATCTTTTTTTAAAGTGGGTTAAATTTGTTCAGTCTCTTCACTTGACTTTAGATACATTCATGCTGTATAGACTTATGTTAATTGAGATGACTGGTCTGTTAAAAAATTTTTTCTCATTTTGGAATTAGTTTTAACAAGGAATCAATACAATAATTCACATTCTTCTGAATTTAACCAATTAGCAATAAATAGCTCTAATAATATCCATTGTTATCGATGACTTGCTGATGAAAACTGACTTCAGAATGAATTATTCTCCATAAATTAATGAACTAGACAGAAGACATATTTTCAGACTATTTAAAACGTTATCAATGAAATATGGTTTATAAACGATTTGATTACTTTATTTTTGAACATTATCTTAATGTAATTTAGTAAATATTACATTTAATATCCTTGTTGTTGATGCCTAGATAATCAATCGGTATTAATACTAATGAAATGTATATCCTACTTACTTCGTATACATTCTGTCGAAAAATCATGTTTATACAACTTAGATAATAAAAGTCAAGCACGACTTGTACGTATACTTCAAACATGCTGATGTCGAATGACAGAAAAACAAATAAAAGGTCTACAGAGTGTACAAAGCACTGGAGTTCGGTAGTACATCGACTCAGAGAATAGTAAGGTGACTTAGTTTTTATAAATCATGTAAGAAATACAGGAATGGGATATGCATATACGTACTATTATACACAGATGTACAAAACGTGCTCAAGGTTGCACTGGACTAATTAACGAGAATAAATGTATGTGTCATAGAATAACTGGAAAGATTAGAATAAATTCTGTGCAAATGTTTGAATAAGTCACGTAGGCGTGTAATGAAACAAATTATTACATAAGCTGTGAAATTTCCTTCATTCTCCAGTTAACTGTTTGACCGCATGAAATTAAGTTTTTGGTTTATCTGTGACTAAAACTCCGGTGATATAACCTGTCAAGATATGATTATTTGAATAAACAAGTCAATAAGTTAATATACGTTAGGCTTTCACCAAACTTGAATCACTTAGTCAAGCTCTTTAACCTATATTTCTTGGACAACAAGACTATTAAGTATCAAAATCAAATATTTCTCTTATCGACAAATTATTTATTATATTGTATAACTAATATAACAAATTACTACAATACTTAACTATTGTTGAAACCAAAGGTATTTTTAATTCATGTGTTTGAATGATTCGGTTTGGTGATGAACAAGGAGCGAGCCATACTTTATTGATAATAAGGGACGTAAACTTAATTCTCTTAAAAAGAACTACTGGAAATCTGTTTTTAAGGAAATCTCGAATCGAAAATATTAACTGAGTTTTGTGTCCAATAAAATTTTGTCCGAACTAATATGTTTACTAGTCAGTTTCAAACGATTTTAAGAATTCTTATTGGTAGACTAGGAAAAGTTGAAATATTCTCATGTTGACAGTAACCAATGTAGACACACTCAAAATGTAATTATTGGATGCTAACATTAACCATCTTATGTTAAACCGATCTACTTACTGATCACGAAATTTCTTTTATCATTTGATTTTATTTTTAGCCACAACATATTTCTGTGCAAGTTCAACTTACAATTGCATTGTTTTAATAATCGTTTAATTTTCTGATGTACACTTTTAAAAATTACCATAAATGAATGCTTTCTAGAGCAGTAAGGGGATAAAAATGTAATATCCATTGTAAATTATGAAAATGGTGAACGTTTCTTTGAATTAATGCTAGTATTTCTGGTAACAGTACAGTATAAGGATGAGTTTAAAACAACTGCGACGAATTTCCATCTAGTTTCTAGACGATCAGAAAGTAGATTTTATAAATGGATAGGTTATGTAAAAGAATTGTATACAGATTTCATGAAATAAATCTATCAATGTCTTTTGAAAGTTACTTTGTTTGTAAGTCGAAGAAACAACTACATATAAACTCGTCCTCATGAATATAGACCGTCCATCTTTTTGAATACTTTAAAGGACCCGAAAAAATTCTTAGGAGTCCCTACATTGTCCAAAGTTAGAGTTAGGGTTTTCATCACGAAATGGCGTCAGCTGAAGTGAAAAAATACTCTGTTGCCATATGGATGAATGAATTTTACTCGAGAATACAAAAGGCACTATCTGATTAGTTCGTCCATATAATGTACTGTTACCAGGTTAAAGTTTGTTACAGGATTAAAAGTTTAGAGTTAAGATTATAGGGATGGTGTTGATTTGCCGGTTATATATAATCTACAGAAAAAGGATTGATCATTTGATGCGTTTAGTAATATCATTTTTACTCTATAGTTGCAAAAAATAATTATCTACAATCATTTTAAACGTTTTGAAAGACATACGAAAGTATTTGTACTGTTGATTATACGTAATCTTTGAATTTCACACAAAAGCCTAAAATTTGCACTCTTGACTGTGAGTGGCTCGTCCCCGCACCATACTTTTACCAGATTTCTTATTAATATTTAAAGACTGTATCTTTATAAATTGTAATTAGAAATTGTCAAGTTTGTTGCAAACTTTTCAGTTGTTCAACATGTAGACTTAATTCCGCCCGTCTATGTTAAAGTTGGTCATCAATGTTCAGTTGTTGTCAACATCCAGATACGCATTCGTGACCAGTATTCATTTCATTAACCCAAGGGTTTACAATGTCGTCTGTCATTTTTACATGCTTAGTACTCGAACTGAAGTCTCGTCCAGATTTGGGCGAGTATTTTCACAAAAATTGGTCGTGGAAGAAATCGGTTATAAATTATATCTGTATAAACTTCAGAAATTCAAATGAAGTGCATTCAGAATTTGATTCGGCAGTTCAATCTGAGCTTCTCCATAGAAAAAGTCAAAACTATCGAAGATAGATTAGGTCGAAAGTAATTCTGACCATGGCATAATGCCTTTTATAACCACTCTATAAGAATGACATCCACATAATATATTCAACATCATGTACGGCTGTTCTGATATATTTTTTCACTGAATGATTCATGCTAATACTGTAAATGGGATTGAACAATTTAGTGTAAAATAACTTTCAACTTATTCTATTTCAGATAATTTTGATTATTTCCTTGTAGTAAACCAGATCATGCTGTTAGGTGAATTGTTATAACTATTGAATTTTAATCTCTGAGACTTTTACAAATAGAAATTATACCTTTCGTATAGCGTTTATGAAAGCATCTTATAACATAGATAATATTATACAAGATTTTGTTTCAAAATATAGACTAAATGAAATAACACACCAATATTAATAATAAGCAAATAAATTAAGTCTACGAAATTAATTGTTGACTTTCTACTATCTCCCATGAATTGTATACTCGATAATGATTATATCACATTTTGTTTATCATCAACCCAACATGACTTGTGAGCATCATTACTTCTTAAAATAGATAACATTGATTTAATTGTTGTCACATTGTTTTATCCACTTGAATTTAGTTGGATCATGGTTTCTCTCACCTCTTCTAAGCGGTTTGGCATCTATCGGAGTATTTTTCCTAATGCGTTTTATGGTGCTGAGAAAAGTAAGTTTTCGACTATTTTCATGCATCATATTTGATCTCATGCTCTCTTATCATAAAAAATAGGGTTGGTGCTAGACTTTTAAACCAAATTTTCGAATTTGAATCCCTTACAATGTTTACTTACGAGTATGTTTTCAGAAGATCGAAACTAGTTTTGTTATTGATAGTGATAAATGTTTGCTTGTTATTGCTTATTACACAAACGTTATTATTTTCTTCTACATTTTGATAAAATTAAAGAATGAACAAATCTGTGTAACTGCGATTGACTTTTGTTTGTGCCAAATGTAACCTCTACCAACTTATCCTTATCATCTCGTTGTCACTTAGTTATTACGGCTACACTTTAAAACCACTGAGTTCACAAACTAATGTATTTGTCTTGGTTTGCTGACTACTTTATGAATCCTTCATACGTACTAACAATATGACTGTCTTGATCAAGATGCTCTACTCACGTACGTTTTCTATGTAACGAGTTATGATAAGTTACTCAATGTCTGCGGATTTCTATCCCCAGCAAACATGAACATGGTTTAATGGGTTGTCTCAGCTAAATTAATTAATGCTTCGAAGGTATTAAAGACTCCATACTTGTATTCGTGTTGTATTATTCCTGTTTAACAAGCATTTTTCAAATGTGCATAAAAAGGTGGTCTACCATATTTTGTCCTATACATTATACTCTGTTATGAACTCAATATTTCCGTGTTACTGTGAAGGTTAATAAGAGAGTTTACATTTAAATCATACCAGATATCTAAAATACTTTTGGGGTTATTACAATCAAACGATTTAACAATTGTCCTTGACACAATTTTATACACATGATAAAATACTTGGCTTTTATTTTTAGTGTGAGTAAGAACATTTGAATGTTAACTTCTTTTTATTATGAATAAAATCATGTTCAACCAATGACTTTCTAGACACTTAAACTTTTGAAGCTGATAAAAGACGTGACAGTTTTCTACCAATTGACTTACTCTATTTAGACGTAAATATAAGAAAGGAATTTTTTTTCTTAAAATGTATGCGATTCTGTCATATCTGAATTTTATTTTTAGTGCATGTTTTTACCAGGTGTACGTACAGAACTGCAGATTACATACATTCTCATTCTACCATCATTTTCGATTTTTGCGTTTATATATTTCACAGTTGATCAGAGAGTTATTTGTAATAACAATTTATGTGAATTAACTAGGTTTGAAAGTCTTTATCAAGTAAAAACCAGATTCATCGATGTTTCATTTTAACGTAATTGAAAACAATGTTTTAAATGAGTGATGTGTGCTTTGAGATAAAAAAAACAGTGATTTATGTTGACCTAAATGTCATACCACATTAACACGATGAGATTAAATTAACACAATGAGTAGTAAATAAGTCGAAATGTTGTCGTTGTCACTATAATGAGAGAGATTAGACATAAAGTTGGTCAGTCATCTACAACGTAGAATCAGGCACAGATATACATCGGTCCAAGTTGCCATACCGCATTAGCACAGCAAGATGAACACCGGATTCATAGGAGTAATTAAGACAATGGTGGTAATACATAAAACAAAGATTGCATATAAGGATATGGTACAGGAAGAAAGATTTCGTACGTATAAAGAAAGTTATGAAGCAATTTTAATCTCTTAGTTTAAGGGAAGGCAGCGAGTTTATACACCTACACCATAGTGATCGATTCTGAGCCATGTCATGGCATGAAGAATATGGTTAAAAAAAGAACAGGATCTAAAGCTTTGTGTAAATGAATTCCAGAGCTCAAAATCTAGAGGATTATATACAGCACATGTATCTACGCAATTTTGACCGATTCTCATACTTCACCCAGTCTTCAGCGATTGCTTGTTATTATAATACGAATCCCAACCAAGTAGTCTGCTTCTACTAGCAAGGTTTAGAAAAATACTCTATGACTACAGAAACTGATTCCATGTCATGTTTTGGTTACCTCCAGCTTTATTCCAACTCACCCTTACACCAGGAAGTATGGCGTGTCAAAATAAACAGTGTTTATGCATACGTAATAAATACACTAACCACCTTGGTTGATCACTATTCATAACCTCTTCCACCGACTTGTCATCTTCGCTTATTACTTGTAGTGTCGGTTGCTATTCAAATCCAAATGGCTTATTCTAGATTCCAGACAAGCCAATCTATTTATTCTTCTTGAGTCACATTTTGACCTTGTCGATTATTGGCTTATCAACCCTGATTGTTTTTATGTAAGCGTATGTGTGTGCATTTGCTATCTTACTCACTACATGTCTGTAACATATTTTTGTCTGACTATAAATTTCTATTCACGCTTAGCTAAATGGATTTGGCTTAGACGCCTTATCCACCACGCATTATTTCGTTTCGCTTCATTTCTTTGATCATCTGTTCAGACTGAAGACAGTACGAAATATGCATATTCAGATATCCATTCTTGTATTCGACTTTTTTAATTACGTTATTCACCAACGCGATGCAAGTTGATGATTATATACGAGAATTGGCGGCATGTACATTTCTATAACAACCATTCATCCGGTCTAACTGGAGTCAGATATTGGAATATCAATTTACTCTACGCTTAACCTCAACATTGCTAACTCGGTCATTCCATGATTTTCGAACAATGCTTTGAAAACACGAATAATTAAAACTGTCCAGCTTATATGTGTCTGCTACCTTTAAGTCTGTTTTGCAGTCTTAAATTAATACAGAGCGGCCGCTTCTCGGTATACTTTCTCTCTGGTCGTTAGATTTGCATCTCATCTACGTCACAAGTGACGCGAGTTGAAAAATCCAACCAAGATTTCTGAACACATGCAGAGGTTTAGGCTAAAGAAACGGTTAAAGCACTCACTTACTTCACTTCCTTTCATAAGCTAGGTGGTGATAGAGACCGTTATTGATGCAACATTTGGCACTTGAGCTGATCGTTGTGCTATTAATTTCAACTTTTTTAATTACTCAATTTTAAGTTTCTTTCAAAGTAAGCATGAAAATATGCAGTGATCATAACCAAATCACAGGATATTGATAAGAAAAAGTAGAAATTTTAAATATTAACCAGTTTATTTTTCTTTATTGCCCTGGTACTCTTCACACTTTAATTCTGAATAACAAATTTTTGTAATATTTTGCAAAATAAATTGTTTCATTTAGAAGTAGTTATTGCGCCTTTTAATATGATCAGTGTATCGTTTAGGTGATTTATCAACTGACGGATGGATAGAACCAATCGTCTGAAATGTTGATATAAGCTGTTAATTTAGCTACACAATTCTAGGATATTGAAGACATGTCTTCACATTGAGAAATGCTATTATTCATTACTGAGCATCTGATTATTGAGAATGGAGTGAAAAGTGCTTTAGAAGAAATTCTTATCAAGTAACTACAATGACAAATTTTCAATATTAACGGTAGTACATTATTTTAACAGTATTAATTGTCACTATAGTTTGAAAAGGAAGGGAATAAATCACGTTGTTTACGTCTCTACTTATAACTGATAGTTCGAAATCTTTGAATTTTCCAGAATATAAAAGTTAGATTTTAACTTTCTAGTCACTATGATCTCTGTAAATACGAGTAAATCACACTTTTACTGTTTATTGATTAAAATAGAAATACTTTTGATATCTTCCTCATATCCCATTTGAGGCACATAACGCTCAAGTGATGTCTGGCTATCCCGATAAAGTTTCTTTGGAAAGTGTTCATTAAGTTTTGTGAGTAGTTGTATATCTGACTTCTCGACGTAATAGCTTTAGAACATACATGTAAACGGATAAACGATATTCGACATAATATGTCATGGGTATCTGTGTTACTGAACAGATTTTAGTATAAAAATGAACTAGATAATTGAAGTGACCTATTGTTTCATCGAATATTTTTGCTCAAAAAGGATTATCAAGTGTCGGGAAGTGCTGTTCGGTACAAAACTCTAGTCTCCTCAATCCTTCTACATGTCCTCAATCGAATCACGAGATATAGTTCACTAGTTTCGTGTAAGCTTCATGCTTATCTGACAGCTGATCTTCACTTGATCAATAACATAATTTGACGAATAACAAATGTCCGTACACAATAACAGTGAAAATCCTTATTCTTATTGATCAAAGACACAATTTACCTCTATTCTAATAGCCGGTCAAAAGTCGAACAAAGCAGGTCGAGTATCCTTCTGCTTCTATAACTCAAACACTAATAGAATTGTATACATTAGTTAACGGACGACCACATGCCACAGATAAAGTCATGGTTGGTAAATAACGAAGCCAGAAGTGATGCAAAACTGGGTAATAGGTACGTAATTAATTAACAGTGATTTAGGAATGGTAAAACGTATACCGACTGCTAATGCATTAAACGAAACCTTAAAAATAGAACAAAATTAAAATAGTATAAACCAATTATTTAAGTGACATAATAAAGATAAAGATAATTCGCTACATAGTAGTTCCAAAAGTTCCGAATTCCCTAGTTATCGCTAGTACATTACATGCTCATAATTTCGTCACCCTTGAACCGTATTCAGATTAATGCAGGCTTCTTTTGAGGTTTATATTCTCAAGTTTTTCAAATCATTGGGTATAATTTTTAAAAAAACATATTTCTCGATTATTGTGTACTTCTTTCTTACTTACTCACGCCTGTTACTCCTTGTGAAGAAGAATAAGCCTCTTACCAGCATTCTTCATCCAACCCTGTCCAAAGCAATCCTTTCCAGCTCTTTCTAGTTGTTATTCATCCTTTCCATATCTGATTCTGTTTCCTGTCGTAATGTGTTTTTTGGCCTTCCTCTTTTCCGTTTCCCTTCAGGAGTCCAAGTTGGGGCTTGCCTCGTGATTCAGTTAAGTGATTTGCGTAATGTATGTCCTATCCACTTCCATAGTCTTTTCCTAATTTGCTCTTCGGCTGGAAGCTAGTTTGTTCTCTCCTACAAAAATCTGTTGCTGATGGTATCCGGCCAATGGATGTTG